TGTATGTGGATGAGACTGCATTAAGATTTATACTCCTTATATTTATATGCTAATGATAAATATACCGTAGTCATTATGTGCAGAAATACACAAGTGGTGATAAAAGGTGAAAATTCCCATTAAGAATCAATAACTTAATAACTTAAGCCATTTTCTGCAGCAATTGTTGATATAAAATATTTACTAAACAATATTCTTTTTGAGAAAAACTAGATTTTCTATTGAATTTTCCACAAGCATAATTAAAGATATCTGGAAAAATGAAAACCTTAAATCCTTTGTATTTCCACCAGAATTGGTCTTTTCAGAAGAAAATCTTACAAATTCAACCATTAAATTAGTTGTGGAAACGTTAATTTAAAGAAAATGGAAAGAAGCCTCTGATATTTTAAAAGAATCACAAATTGTTTTTTCACATTTTTGCATTTTGCAGCGCTGTTTATGTCATTTTTATTTCTCCTTTTTTAAATTTCCATTTTAGTATCTTTTAGGCGGCATTCAGCAGCTCATTAAAAGTGCAAAAAAATTATTATTATTTTTTTTTTAAACGGTTAAGAAAAAGGTTGATTTTACATTTTTAATGTTTGAAAAAAGTAATTTTAGCTTAAATGTGTTACACCTTTATTATACATTATAATAGCCCAGTGCATACTTGTCACTGCCACGTGGCGATTGGCCTTTCCTTCGTCGATGACGTCCATCACCTCCTCAGGACTGGAGACAAAACGTTCAGTGCAGCCCTGAAACAGCATGGAGATCATCAAAACTAACATTTAATTATTTGAAGGCAAAAACAGAAGCTCCATATATAAATCTAACATAAAGACATTTAAATTACATGTATGGTTAACCATGAAGCAAACATTTAAATCTGGAATTAAGCAGTGGTCTTAGGGCTTATTTTGCATGAAAACATTTTCCTATCTTTGTTAGTCTCTGGGTTTCCTTAAAGAAAAAGTGTCATTCAATAAATAAATCTAGAAATAAACACATTATATATCAGTAACACTCAAAGTTAATAAAATGCCAAAATAAGCAACATTCTATGGTTACGTAATTTTATTTAATGCAATAATCATTATTAATTTTGAATGAAACTCCTTTTACATTTATAGATTCAAAGAATGGCTAGGATTGACATTCATTCACTTATTTTTTGTCTGGTTAACCTAAAAAGAAGCCGTTTTGGGGATAGTTTGTTGCTTACTTCAGTGGTGGGAGCCAAGAAATAATGCATTCAGTCCAACAAGCAAACCTTGTTTGTCAGACAGAGACGCAATGTTTTAGGAAACAGTGCTGTTTGTGGTTTAATTTTTAATTGTCCTTAAATATTAAATTTCAGCTTGATTTGTTATTCTTCTGTTATTCTATGTGCAAACAAAGCTTCCAACGTCCGGTTTAACATATTTTTCTGTTATATATCAGCAGACAGAAGCTCTGCTGTTTAATGTATTGAGCACTAAGATGAAAATCTGCACCGCAGTTAATCTACGGTAATGAGTGATCAAATGAAAGCTCGTCTTACTAACCTTCACATAAGGAACCCTGTTCTTGTCTTCGTGCACAGCGAGGTTCGTCTTTGACACTTTGAACAGAAAAACCATAAAAATCAGTCAGTGCCTGATTTAACAAAAGTCTTTAATAAAATGTGATTGGTTAAATGTTAAAATTAGGAAATTTGTAAACAATCTCCAGCAACACTTACCGTCCAGCAGGTCTCTGATCTTGTCCAAGTAGATCTCAAAGTAAGACACCTGCAGGGAGGAGTCTCCACTTTAGAGTCTCACTACGTTAACTTTGGTTTAATATACAAGAAACTGAAAAATAATGTTCAGAACCCTTGAAACAAAAAAAGTAATTTTGTTTCTGTGTGAGTTTATGCTATTTCAATAAAAAATTAATATCTTTTCAGCCTTTCTACACGTTTCTTATGGTATTTTTTCTGTGAATTTGGATGAAATGAGTCGCTCTTTACCTTGATGTGAAACTCCAGGTTCTCATCCATGGAGTAGATGTGGTCAAAGATGTCTTGGGCGATGCGAGGAATGATTCCCATCAGCCGCGGGTCGTGCAGTTTGCCCTAAACACAACAACGGATGTTTTGCTCCCTGATTTCCAATTAACTTTGTAAAAATTAAAGGGGTGATAGAATGATTCTATAGGGTAGCTACTTGGTTTCTGGTCCTTAAGGTCTCTGAATAGGGTGTGTAACATTGGTTGGGCTGAAAATGTCATGTTTGCTGTTCTATGAGCCCTAATGCAGCCTGGTTAAAAGCCCTAGAATGAAACGACAGGCTTTCTTCCTTTTATGGTATGATCATGAATATTTAGATGAGCTGTGCACTGATTGGTTGGTTTATAAAGAGCGAAGCTGCTGAGCAAAGACGCATCATAGCAACAAGCACTCACTTACTGAAACATCGAAATTGTTGATATGGTAGGGTGAACAGACGATCTATTTTTCCCGGACATGTCCTACTATTCATAACTAAAAAAATTTAGGGGGGAATTCAAAATCGTCCGGGATTTCAGTCGACTACGGTGCAGCAGGACCGAGCCGTGAGCTCCAGAGCTGGTCCAGGAACTCATGTAGACGCGGGCAGGGAGCCAGCGGGGAAGGAGTGACCAAACCCGACCCGGTGACGGTAGCCGGAACCCCATTCTTCCCCTGACCTGAACCAAATAAGGCAACATCCCCAAGTTTACGTCAACTTGGTGCTTCATTTGAATTTGCCCGTTTTAAGGTGGAAGTTTAGAATTGTGAGATTTGCAGACAAAGGACGTTTCAATGGGGTTTGAACTTCTCTGTACGTCTATTTCACCCACTGAATAATCGTTATTCATCTATGACAATGGAAACTCGGTTTTGCATTCTATGACCCCTTTAAAGACGAACATCTGCTGAATAAAGTGGAATTACAACTTCATGGAAAAACAAAGGCCTCACATCAGATCAGGGAATTAAAATGAGGCTTCAGGGCTTTTCTCAAAGGATTAATCCATAATTCTGTTACTCAATCCTCTAATCCTCACACTGTGGATTAAAGTTTACATTCAAACTCTTCCCTAATCTTTGCACACAGTTTCCCATCGTGATCAATGGGTTCATTGCTTGTGGCTGGTGGAGAGTGAGACCTCACCTCCATGGTGTGGGTCTTTCCAGAGGACGTCTGTCCATAGGCGAAGATTGTCCCGTTGTATCCACACAGCACATCTAGGATCAGAGAGACAATAATTAAAACACTACATTATCGTCAAGAGATGTAATTCCTCCCCATGAAACACAGATCTTTGAACCTAAGAATATCAGCCAGATGGAGGTAATTAAATAGAACAGCAGCTTCATTTGACTACTAATGACTGCGCTAAGTTAAATGGCATTTTATGCACCTAAATATTCTGCTCTTGCATTTCAGTTTCAGCAAACACTGTAGGATATTGATAAATGGAGCAAGAGAGAAAAGTTTTTATATTCTTATTTATATAGATGATGTCCAGGGATGAGTATTGTAACAAGAAGGTGCTGAGTGGTGAAAAAAGAGTCAATTTCTATGTTGATTTTTGCCTTTTCTGAGCAGCTAGGGTTAAAGTAGTGATCCAAAGCACCACTATTTTAATTTAAAACTGTAAGCAAGTTGAAAAGCCATCTAAAGTTTTCTTGTATTCTACAGAAAGTTTGATTTTCTAGAGGTTGTTTTATGCTACATAGTACGGTAGTCATTTTCTAGAACGTACAGTTTTATTACTTTAACATTTTTTTCCCCCAACAACTCTCTTGGATCTTTACGGAGCCCCTAAAGGGACATGGAGGGAAAAAATAAACTTTTGCGAGATCCCGCAATACATTTTGCGAAATCTCACAAAACTATTGCGGGATCTCGCAAAAGTTTATTTTTTCCCTCCATGTCCCTTTAGGGGCTCCGTAAAGATCCAAGAGAGTTGTTGGGGGAAAAAAATGTTAAAGTAAT